GGGAGTAAGGCGAGAGACCGCCTAGGAATTTTTGGGGAGTGGTTGTATTTATGGGTACTGTCATGGTTTGGTTTTGAGGTAGCAAAACAGGAAGACTGGCTGCTAGGGTGGTGGTGGAGGCTGCTAAGAGAAACATGGTCAGCCATGGAGGAAGTAGCTTTTGTGCTTGATGAAGGCATCGTTTCGTTGTTAAGTGAATGCTTCAATATGGTGCTAATATCATTTCCTGCAATAACAACAGAAGATGAATGAGGCATAAACTTTGCTTAAGTAATATGCTTGCTCTCTTGACAACAAGCATAGCACTGTCAGGTATAACTAAAAGCTCAGGCATTCATAATATAAGAACTCTAGGTTATCTCTCTAATTTTTCACATGGAGCTCACCCAGGATGGAGCATATGACATGGGTGTACAGATCTCTCTCTATTCTAAAAGTGACTCCTACTGCAGCAACCTAATTAAGCCACGTCACCCCTAGAATTACAGTCAGTAAATTAATTAATATTTCCTATTTACTGCACCCATGCATTGTATGTGGTGCAAACAATGAATGTAAGGACTGTTGCTAAACAATTGGAAGGTTGGTGCCTGAAAGGCTATATTTGAATAGAAACATTCTGTCCTTTGAAAACAACATTTCATTCATATATAAAATTAAAAAGCTTCATGCATATATATAGAAGTAGAAGATGTGTCATGCATATAAAGACCGGCGTGTACTGTGTTTGGCACAGATCTGTGCAGTAAATCATACTCGATGGACAATTTAGGTATGGAGGCACATGTATCAAATGGACTAGTTCAATGTTTAAATGAAATATATACTGAACGGTTCTGGAAGGTTCTCGTCTGCATCTTGTCTTACATAGCATATAATGCTCCCGATATCACACCAACATCAAGATATGTCAACGTTACTCCTGAATAACATCAAAATCAGCCCCGAGAATTTAATTCTCTTTTGGTAACCTGGAGGAGTTGCTTGAGACTGGTATTCAACTGCTCATTGAAAATTATGTTTCGAAGTGTTAGAAGAAAGGTGTGTGCACCATTGGAAAAATACAGTAAAACCTCTTTTCAGAAACAAACCATCTTTGAACTATTACAGACATGCATGCTAAAGAGAAAACATGAGGAAAGAAATTACTAAGACTATTCATAAACATATTTGGTTACTTAATTGTGAATACGCCCACAGCAACGTGTGGGCATGGCCCTAGACCCTAGTGTACAGCTATTATAATAGGCAAGAAACAGCAATCAAGTAGTTACAATACACATGTATGCAGTATGCTGGCAATTGCATCAAAGTTTGTTAAATATATGGATTTCACATTACAGCCTGCTACCCTACTCTCCCTCCAAAAACCCAGTAGGCAATCACCACATTCTTAATAAGTCCATATATCCAACAAGCTGACGGGCAGCAATTCAACAAAAGAACTGCCCATCTGCCTGGGCCATCGGCAACTCCAAACCGCAAAAATGGCGATTGGCATCTGTGACCTCATACTGCTCAAGCAGGATGAGGGTGCAAGCTGGATGCAGGCGGTCACCACAGCCAGTCGTCAACCAGCAAGTGGGGAGAGCCTTCCCTTGGCTCGTCTCTTTGTTGTCTTGCTTCGATATTATACATTACTACTAACTGTGAATTGTCACATTTCTATTGTACTACTACTCTTGGTCCCTAGACCCATGAATGAGCTGTGTGTTTCTGACAAAGACTCAAAAATATGAAGAGGAAATCTGACAGTTTTACTATAAATTGAACCAGAATCATTGGCCATCTAGCAAGCATTCCCTGGCGTCCATGGCACGCAGCTGACTTAGTGTGATAGTTTCATACTTTCAGTCCAACCAGCAATACGGAAAGCAAGGGATCAGCTCGTTGCCTTGTACAGCACCCAAAGAAATGGAAACAGAACGGCGTAGCCACGGCGCACGGACCTCACCTTCCAGACCACCGCCGGCGGCGGCGGCGGCGGACGGTGGAGGCACACCCCTGCGGCAGCACTTGGCCCTGCGGATGCGGTAGGCGGAGGTAGAGGTCAGGCACGAGGAGGGGACGGGGCGGCGGTGGGAGCTAGGGTCGTGGTCTCGGCGGTGGAGAGCGAGGCCTAGGGACGTGGCGGTGGCGGTGGCGGCCATGGTGGCGGTTGGAGCAGCTGTGGCCTGTGGCCGGCGCTGGCCGGAAAGGATAAGGGTATGCTCGAAATTTTATTCGGGGAAAAAAATTCTATTGAGCGAGCGTCAGTTCGCGAGACGTCTTCCGGCCCGACGCTTTTCCTGGTCGTTCTATTGGTCGAGTTAAATCCGTTAAACCGTCACAATACATGCACCGTTAACAAAAAAAAACCACCATAACACGTTTGTGTAATTTTACACCAAATGCAACGCATGACAATGAAAGGAGACACTGACAGTTTTTTGAACCACTTTTTTTGACGTGGCAACCCGCCCACATGGCGAAAGAGAAGATGGCACGAGGCAAACACCGTTACTTGTTCGGTCGAAGGCGTCCTTTTGGGTTGATCGAGACCAAATCGGCTAAAGCCAGCCCACTCATTCTTCTTGTGGTTGTCCCCTCTCGCTCGCGCTCCTTTGGTGCTGCTCCCACGACTGCCACCGCCGCCCAACCATCGGCGCTATGGCGTCTTGAAACGACGGCGAGAGCGATCAAGACTCCATGCAATAGTTGGATTCAAATGTAAGCATCCTCTCCCCTTTATCTCTTAGGGTATGGTTAGAGTTAGGGTTCTTGCCTATCTGGGGAACTTTCTCAAATTGAAGCTCAACTGTACCGAATCCAGTTGATTTGATTTGTGGCCCAATTGTTTTTAACTGGATTTATCCAGGCCCCTCTCGCCATTGAAGACTTCGACTTTAAGGCCATTTGTGGAGTATGAGGAGGTTCCCGAGACAACCTGGGTCGAAGCCCAGCCGCGAAAGCAGCCGTAGGCCCGTCAGTGATCCGCGTCAACGCCAACCGTTGGATCAATCCAACGACAGCGGATTTGACCCGTGCTGATTAAAACCAGTTGCGAGCTGGAAACCTTAGCCATTTCCCCCTTCAACCTCGATTCTTCCGGTCTCTTAAGAGGAGAGGCGGCCGTGCGGCGACTCAAGGCTCACCGGCCATGGCGGCGCGGTGGTTGCCCTCGCCGGAAGAGCGTGCAGTGGACCAAGTCCAACGCGCTCCTCCGTTGAGAGTAGCTGTCGGCGACGCGCACATGGCCTGTTAGGCGGCGACGTTTGAGAGGCATTTCGCCGGTGTCTGCCGACGTAAACTTGCGGTGGTGGCGACGTGCAAGGCGATGGTCGCGTCCATCTGCGCAGCAGCGACGGATGCATCTTTCCGCGCGTCATCCCGAAGGATGGCGACATTCCGACCATGGCATGCACGCACAACGGGTCTGAGCGGACCCTAAAGGCCGGAGTTATAAGGTGAGCCCCAAATCCTCTTCTTTTCTTAAACTTCATACATTTGGGCACTAATTTGGGGATTTGGTTTTGTAGGGTTTCAAAAGAATTGGGGATAAATGTTTTAGGGTTTGGATTATGGCCAAAATTGGGGGAAAAGGAGGTTTTACTTAATCATATATTCCACTCCGTCTAATTGCTTAATGGGATTTAATCAATGCTAACTACTAACAAATATCTTGATGTGGAAACGTGGCATAGTTAAACTAACAGAACATGTTAATGATCATAAATCTCTAACTAGCACTAATCCAGTAGCAATTTACACCTTACTGAAACCTCTTAACCCTAGACATTAAACATTTACTTTAATAGAGGGCAACTTAACCATAATCATGAACCATTACACTTAATACTTTAACCATTAGCACATAATCAAGATCAACACCTTGAACAAATAATCTTTAGGGATCTAATCTAGACTTAATTAGCTCAAGATACCATTGTTAGAAATAACCCATTAGAATTGACGTGATTAGATCCTAAGCCTAATAATAATTAGATCACTTAAAACATAATGAACAGAGAGGTACATTATGATCGTACCACCAATGGAAGCAGCCATAGGTGTAGCCAATCCAAAGTGTCATGCCTGCTTGATGCAGGTGTGATGCAGGCTCAGGGTAGACAATCGCAGCGGGTAACAACGTCCCTCTGGGCACCACCGATACTATCCTGGAACAGGGGACGAGCTTGGAGATGATCTTCCCATCGTGCAGCGCTCCACCAGATCGGTTAGGGTTTTAGGGAGATGTGGGAAGCAGGAGTAAACCATACATGAACTAGTTAAATCGTAGGTGTCGGCTCTTCCCCCATCTAATATGTGTGCTCTGGTGACAGGGGACCAAAACCATAGTTGGTTAGGGTCACCCGTCAAATCAGGGTGCATTAGTTGAGATTAGGGTAACGTATGTTGGTGAGCGGCCCCTCTCCTCAACGTTATCTTTACTTTTCAGTTTCAGCATTGCTAAGGGGCTGTTTGGATTGTGACTATGTTTGCATTATGTTGCCACACTTGCCTAACTTGAGTTGCTCAAATTGTTAGCCACACTTTGGCTTGCCTAAGGAAATCTTGCCACACTTTTTGTGTCTATGACATGTGAGGTTCACTGCTCATAAAAAAATCTTGGCTTAGTGTGGCCAGAACCAAACACCCACCTAACTTGGTCAAACTTGTCTAATGTGAGGTATGGCAAAGTGTGGCAATATGTGGCTGGGAATCAAACAGCCCCTAAATCTCAGTCAACTGGGACTTAACAACATCTCAGTCGATGCTATATTCGTCAGATCTTATATGGAGATCCATGTAAAAATAATAATTTTTTTTATTCCTTTCTTTTTATATGTTATGTCATCTAACCTCGCCCTTTCAATTTATCTATTCAGTCCGTTGGACCTTATAGATTAATACACCAACAAAACCCAACGGCTTAGCATGAGCGGTTCGCTATCTCAAAAATCAACCAGCAACAAAACCATTTTTAGTAGGTGCCGTGCGCGGGTGCAGGCGGCTCCACGATGACCAGGATGGCAGGATCGACTCTCGTCTCCCTTTATTTAGCCGCAGCCGGCAGCACGGATGTACAGTGGTGGACGTTAACCCAGGACCAGGATGGACGCCGCCGACTCGTCGCCGATGCACATCGTCCTCTTCCCGTGGCTTGCGTTCGGTCACATGACCCCCTTCCTCGAGCTTGCGGAGCGCCTGGCGGCCCGCGGTCACCGCGTCTCCTTCGTCTCAACGCCGCGCAATATCAGCCGCCTCCCGGCCGTCGTGGACGTCCACCTGGTGGCCCTGCCGCTCCCCCACGTGGACGGCCTCCCCGAGGGAGCGGAAGCCACCAGCGACCTCCCGCCCGGCAAGGCCGAGCTCCTGCAGAAGGCCGCCGACGGCCTCGCCGGGCCGTTCGGCGCCTTTCTAGACGACGGCAAGAAGCCGGACTGGGTCATCGTCGACACCTTCCACTACCTAGCCGCCGCCGCCGCCGCCCGCCGGGGCGTGCCGTCCGTGATGTTCCCCATCTTCTCCTCCTCATCGAGCGCCCTATGGGGCGTGCCGCGCGTGTCGACGGCCGTTGACCCGGAGGTAGGGGCGTCGCTAGCGCAGCGCTTCTTGTTAACCCACCAAAGCTGCAAGATGGTGGCCAAGCGGCGCTGCGTGGAGTTCGACCCCGACGGCGTGCCTCTCCTGCCGGCCATCTTCGGCAAGCCGTTCGCCCCTCTCGGCCTGCTGCCGCCGCCTCTGAGGTCCACCGAAGGCGACGCGCTCGTCTCATGGCTCGACCGACAGCCGCCGAAATCCGTCCTCTACGTCGCGCTGGGAAGCGAAGCGCCGCTGAGCAAGGAGCTGGTGCACGAGCTGGCCATCGGCCTGGAGCTCGCCGGGACGGCGTTCCTCTGGGCCCTGAGGAAGCCCAGCGGCGTCCCGGACGACGCCGTCCTTCCTCCGGGCTTCCAGGACCGCACCAAGCACCGCGGGCTCGTGGCGATGGGGATGGTCCAGCAGACCAGGGTGCTGGCGCACGACTCCGTCGGCGCGTTCCTGACGCACTGCGGGTGGAGCTCGGTCATCGAGGGGATGCAGTATGGACGTCCCCTTGTCATGCTGCCATTCTTTGGGGACCAAGGGCCGATTGCTCGGCTCATGGAGGGGAGGAAGGTTGGACTGCCGGTGCCAAGGAAGGGAGAGGATGGGTCGTCTTTTGACCGGGAAGGCGTCGCGTCGGCGGTCCGGGCCGTCATGGTGGAGGAGGAAGGTAGATGTGCCTTCGCGACCAATGCCGGGAAGTTGCAACAGGTTGTCGGCGACACTGCAAGCCATGAGCAGTGCATCGATGACTTCCTTCAGCAACTACGATTTTACAAGGAATAGTGTCGGCATGGCCCGGCGCGTTCTTTTGTGACAGGCCTAGGGCCAACAGAATCGCCTTCTCCTCAGCTTCTTCCAGAATAGCCACTTCATATATATTTTATAATTCTATCTAGTTAAAATCTAATTAGTTAGAATTATAAAAAAAATATGAGTGACGATTCTGGAAGAAGCTGGGGAGGAGGGTGATTTTGGGAGAATTGTCAAAAACAACTGGCCCCTATTCAAGAAAAGTACTACTGCCAGGTCATATAACAACAAAATAGAATGTACTGTATCACCGTATCGTTATCCTATGATTTTCGTTTGATCATTCATGTCAATATTTAGTTATTAAAGTGATTTTTATGCCTTTTTATTTTTTTCATCTTTTTATTATTTTTCGATACTGGCCTATTGGGCCTAGCCCAACATTGCGTCGGACGCTTCCCGGGCAAAACCAAAGGGGCCACGGCCCCCTCGCCCCACTCGCCCACTCCACTCATTTCCCTTCAAAGTCTCCGCCCTACTCTTGATCCTTTTTTTGCCGATGGTGGTCGCCAACTGATTCGGCGATCTCTGGTGTCCTTAGGTACACATCTGTGCCCCCCTCTCAATGTCAAGTGAAATGGTCCATTTGGATTTTTTATACGTGGTGAGATTCGTATTCCCAACGCTAGGGTTTCGGCGACGACAACAAAGACGACAACAGGCGACGACGACAGAGTAGACAGTAGGCAACGAGGACCCTCGGCTCCAACCCAGGTGAGCATCTCATTGCTCCGTTTTTTGCAATAGGTCACTGCTGAAAAAATGGCATTTTGCTTAGGTCATTGTCGTGGGTTTGTCACGGCAGATGTCCTCGTGAAAGGATTTAGTCGTGGAGCCATCGCTACGGGTTAGCTTCAAGGGGTTAAACCGGACAAGGGACACGCGGGTTTTATACTAGTTCGGCCCCTTCGATGAAGGTAAAAGCCTACGTCTAGTTGTTTTGGTATTGTTAGGGTTTCGATGACCGGGGAGCGAATCCGCTTTGCCTGGCTCTCGAGTTGTTGTGTGTTTTGTCCCTAAACCGCTGTCGGGTTGTCCCTTTATATACATAGGTTGATGCCTGCCGGTTTACAGAGTCCCGAGGCCGGATCATAAATGTGTCCGGCTCGGTCTCTATTCCTTCTAACTTACAATACAAGTGACATGAAAGAGTCGGTTTACATCTACAGGCCTTAACCCGCCTTCGGGCCTTGGGCCTTTGTAAACGCCACCATCCTCACGTCTTAATGGGCTTCCATCTTCATAGAGTTAACCCGGCTACTCCTGGTCAGTTTACGTCCAGTAGTAACATCCCCAATGTTAGGACCCAGATTGGTTTGAACTTGTTCATGTCAATCTTCAACACTTAGAAAAATTCCTCCTTTGCATCTTCGCCTTGATCTTGTAAACCGCCATGACGTCATACTCCAGGATCATGATAAATCATCGTGATGTCACCTTGTTATTTAAAAATGATATATCTCACCTTCAGTTAATGAACCTTTGACAATCGAGGCGACCGCTCCTGTTAGGTATCCAATATTCCGGCCCCTCGATTCTCGCGCCTGTTACCTCCCCCTTTACCTTATAAATAGGGCAACGGGTCATTTCCTTTTTTCCCTCCGTCTCTTCGCTTCTTCTTCCTCCTCGCGACACCTCTGCACCCGAGCGCCGCCACCGTCGCCGAGCTCCGCCTCTGCATCTCCGTCGGCCGCTGCATCGACCTGGTTGCACTAGATAGCCGCGGGGTAACTCTGCTTGCTTCAACAGCCGCTGTAAGATCTTCCCTTTCCTCCTCTATAGATCTACTTAGGGTTTCAGTGTTCATGAATGTTCATCGAAGCTCCGACAACTGTTCTTCCCTGTTCCTCCTTAGTCCATGGAAGAACCCTCAAGCCTGATGTATTTCGTGTAGTAGCTATAGCGTTCCTTATCTTTTGCTATCACAACAACCCTTATACGCATAAAAACTGATTTGGACCTTTGTGAACTGCTTTGGGACCAATCTTTTTAGGTCTAAATCTTTTTGCTTCTCCTGTCTTACGGTAGATCTAAAATTTCCAAGTAATCTTGTGAAACCTGTTTTACCTTACTTAGTCGTTCTTGCCTTAGATCTATATCTTCTTCATTACATAGGCGGTTTACCTTTGTAAAAAGCAATCTATCACATACCATTAGTCCCCTTGTAAACTGGCAACTCCTTTGTGTCCGTCATCATACTCCGGTTTAATAATATGTGTATATCTCTTTTTCCACCTATTGCCTTGTCATTCATAATTATATCATCCTCCGGTTTACCAATTTCATATATTTGGACTTCTTTATCCTGTTGAACCTTATGCCTTACCATGAATGAATTGTAAACCGGCATTTCTTTTCAGCTTTTCGCTTGCAATGGACAAGCAATTTTATTCCTGTAACTGGGCTCCCTCCCGGGTTACCGAGGAGCAACTTAATGGAATGGTCAAAATTGGTACTTTACCCAAAAAGAATGAGATCCGGTGGCGAGTTCCTGGACCGGAGAACCCTCCTACTCCCAAGCAAGGTGAAGTAGTGGTATTTGTTAATCACATAGGCCGTGGCTTCAAACCGCCCGGATCGAAGTTTTTCCGGGATGTGCTTGCCAGCTTTCAACTCCACCCTCAAGATATTGGACCCAACTCGGTGTCCAATATATGCAACTTCCAAGTCTTCTGTGAAGTGTACTTACAAGAAGAGCCAACTGTTGAGCTGTTCTGGGATTTCTTCCATCTGAACTGACGCACTAAATTTGTAGACGGGCCCAATACTGAACTTGGTGGCGTCTCCATTCAGAAAAGAAAAGAGGTTGAATTTCCTCATGCCAAGCTGCACAGTCACCCCAAAGAGTGGAATCAAACTTGGTTCTACTGTAAAGACACCTCCCCTGAAGATGAGAACCCTCTGCCGGGTTACCGTGCTCACCGGCTGGCCAATACTCATCCTCTTCCACAACGATTAACTGCCCAGGAACGAGCCCCGTATGCACCTCAACTCACCAAGCTGAGGGCCTTCCTGGCCAACGGTTTAACAGGTGTAGACTTTGTCCGTTGCTGGATATCCTAGAGTATCTTGCCGCTAAGTCGCCGCTCTCGCTTAATGTGCGAGTACATTGGTGAAGTAGAACACTCCCAACGTCATATCAATATTCAGCTAACGGATGAAGAAGTCACTGAGGCTGTCAAGAAAATATTGAATGAATCGGAAGCTGTCTGTCGCCAAACCGGTTTACTCCCGTTTTACACACAAAACAAACCTCCTGCTATAAGTGTTGTTCTTCCGCTTTACACTTGATATCTTTATACTGTATAACCTTTGAACACCCTTCTGCTTATTTTTAAACAGGGCGATGATCTGTTTTGGAAGAAGAAACCTCAAGAAAAAGCGGCAAAGCCTTCCCATCCCAAAACAAAAACCATCAAGAAAACCTCAAAGCGGAAGGCACCTGAACGCATCAGTATGGAACTAGATGACGACCCGGACGAACCGGAAGTTGAGGTAGAACTTGATTCACTTGGTTCACTTTTCATGCATCTCATTGATAATGATACTTATCAGGAGGATGTTGAGGGCAGCCAAGCTGACGATGCAGAGGTAATTATCCTTTTCTCCGGTTCAGACTCTCTGTCAACACAAAAAATCCGTCAAGCGGTCCGGAAAGTAAGATTTTCTCACCCTCTTGCTCACTTGGATCCAACATTTATTTTGAAGAAGCAGCAGCACGAGGCTCGCCGCACAACCCGGCACAACGGCCAAAAGGTTACTTCAACTGGTTTACCAGACACCCCGGTTCGAAAGCGCCGATTTGAGGTCTCACCCACTTCTGACACTTCTTATCCCAAGGCAGGCTATTTCCGACAACCTCTTAATCCGTCCGATTCGAATTATCAGGTGACACCTCCTTCATCCTCTGGCGAGTCAACAGCGACCCAACTTCCTCCTCTCAAAACTGTAGCTGGGTAAGTACTTCAACCCCTTCTTTTGATGTTTTCATACTTTATATGCTATGCTTAACTTTCACATCTTATTTTGTTGTAGAGCCAAAGCCAGACCCAGCAAAAAGACTCGGATGAACAATCCGCCCGAAGACCAGGTGGTCATTGAACCGGAGCAAACGGTTGAACCGGAGCGAACGGCTGAACCAGAAGGTCCAAATCCTGAAGCTACCTTTGATGAACCACCCCCTCAAGATCACAATACTGATGAACAACCAAAAGTTGACACTGCTGTGCCTGATGATGAACCGGTAGATCCAATCCGGGCTGATGATAGATCTTCTAGTCTAGTGAGAACCACTGACACTCCATCAACTCCAGAAAAGGCTGCTGGAGACAAAGAAGGCGAGGTTATCATTACTGGTATTGGTCACACTTCTCCTGGCCATCCTATAATTTTGGCAAAACATAGTGCCAAGGAAGAGCGTGCTGCTATGGAGAAAGGCAAATGGAGTACTGATTTATCCAGCTATGCCCATCTTAGTGCTCAAGAACTCCACTCTGGTTTCCTAAGCTGTCTGCACTCAAACAGTGATAATGAAGCCGGTTTGGTGAACCTGATGAAGGAGCGCTATGAGGTATTTTCATCACTTCCCCTTTTCGTAAATCCAATTTTGTAAATATCAACTCAAGTAGCCCCCAAGGGCCGGTTTATGATAACAATCATAAATCGGGACTTTGTAATATCTCAATCCTTACATGCTGATCCTCCATATGTCAAATGATCTTTGGAAACAAACCGGTACTTTATCATTGTATTCCTGTAGTTTTCATCGGTGTAGCCCCCAAGGGCCGGTTTATCTTTCCAAAGTAAACCGGGTCTTGAATCAATGCGTCAACTTTGAACAGATGTACATTAGCCCCCAAGTGTTAAGGATAATGCTTGCATTGTACTTGAGACTTGTGAAAAAATATGTTGATGATAGAGCAAATAGGCATTAGCCCCCAAGTACAAAGTGCATAACTTGTTATACACTTGGT